GCTAGGGCGTAGATTGAATTTTCTGTTTATCTTTGAAAATCGTAAATAAATATAATTATTTTACTTCAATGACTGAATTTTAAAAAAAAACGGGATATTTATTTAAAAAAACGAAACTTTTAGAGAATCGGAGTTTTTGATAAAAAGGCTGAAATTCGAGAGACAAAAAAAATCTCATCCCTGTATAAAGGTCAACCAGTTTTATCCCAAGGAAATGATTTTTAGAGAAACTTCAGAGGGAGGAAAAGGGACTTCAACAATTTCCCTTCGCGGAAAATTAAATTCCTCATAAAACATTTTAACTTGGGCAAAAAAAAATTTCAGCGGAAATTAGCGGGAAAAATGGAAAAATCTTAAAAAAAGCGGAAATCCGCGAATCCGCGGAAGAATCTCATCCCTGGATAATGCATTTCCTTGTGTTGTCTAATCCATTTTTAGAAAACAAAATATACTTTTAATGTAACTGTTAACTCCAAAAATATAACAAAACATTTACGTAATTGTTTAGCAAAATATTTGGTAAAAATTGAATGGAACAGGCTTTAATAGCATCAATAATTTTACCAATATTTTATTAAAGCAAAAAGCAGTGCTTTATAAAGCAGCTCCTCTATTCAGAACTAGTGCTAAACTAATAGCATAAAAATGCTGTATAACTTCTTTAAAATGACTTATAATTAAATTTAAACTAAGTGTTCAATTTAGTAATTCCTATACCTTAATTTGGTTATTTTAATATAAAACAAAATGCCTTTTCTCATATTTGTAAAAGTTTAAAATTTAAATGATTGAGTAATTGATTTTTGTTTTAAAAATATATTACTACATTATATTTATTTTAAAATGATGGAAAAATTATACTTAGAGATTCACTATACCTCCTAAAAGATTTAAATAAAACTAACATATATTTTTTATCTAAATATTTTTATCTATTTTTATTTCAATTATTTAATAAAATAATTTATTTATTTTAATTATTTCATTAAACTAAATATTTTTATTTTTTTATCAAATAAGAAGGTTTGTTAGACTGATAGACGTATTTTGCAAAATAAGAAACTCATTACCACTTAAAATCTAACAAGTTATTAATTTTTAAAAATTTAAAACAATGATAAACTCCTTAGTAAAGCAAACGCAGATAAAGTAGGTGCAGTTATTTAGCCTTATAAAACATAACTAAAGACCTGAGAAAGTTTTTAAGACCAGAAACAAACTGAAACCAATAGAAAAAATATAGGTTCATATTTTGTTTTTACCATTCAATAATTGCACTTTCTTGCTAAACAACAAGAGGAATTTTAAATTCATTAAATAGCTACATTAAGAATAAATAAACATATATTTATTACCTTATTTTCTTCAAAATAGGAAGTCACATTTTCTGAACCCTCTGCCTGCAAGTCAAATTTAAAGAATTTAATAAAAATATGATCCAACTAAATAGGCAGATATTTATTTACTGTTTATTAAAAAAATTGTTTTGATTACATTAATAATAATAATAATACATTTCAATAGAGATGCATGAATTTTAAAAACTTTTCAATAAAAAATTCAATATATATATATATATATATTGGTGATAAAGATAATCTAAGTCATTAAATATTTTTTTTCTTCATAAATCATTACATTGTAACTGAATTAACATATATTCCGTCATTTAAAATAAATGAATAAATACAATGTCATTACTTACTTGCTTTATGAATAAATTATTTTAGTGAACAAACATTAGCATTAAGTAAATATTTTTCAAAATTTAAAAATATTTGCTGTTGTTGAGTCTTATTAATAAAAGATTTTTTTGAAAATTACTAAAGTACACTTCAATTGATTAGCATATTTTCGGTTGGCCACTCAAACCATAAAAATTACACTTTAATAAGTAAACTGGACTAGACTATTTCAAGATTCATTCAAAAAATAATAATAAATACTTTATTTTTGGTTAAAAAATATCAATTAAAATAAAATGTAATTTAAAATATAAATCACAACTTACTCCAAAAGCCCAGTAGCCAAAAACGACTATGAAAAAGTTAATGAAATCACAGAAGAACATATATGCATAGACATCAACTGTCACTCTATATTCTGGATAAAGGAGGTGGTAGAAGAACATTTTAATAGGATCCACAACAGAACCCACACTGAAAAAAAAAATTTCTCAGATAAGCAAGTATAATAATTCAGAATTAAAAAAAATTCAATTTAAAAAAATTTTGAAAGTAATAAAAAAATGAAAAGTTTTAAAGATATGTTTAACAAAATATATCATTACAAATTATAGAAGATGTAAAGTAGACATGGGCAAATACCTGGAGAAATAAACATTGATTGAAAAAGTGTAAACAAACACATTCTGTATTTTTTTTTTTTTTAAATATTCAATAATGAGATCAAAATCAATCTTCCACCCCCACCTTCTGGAGAAAGAGTAAGGGCATTTTTGAAATCCTTATGAATCCCTATTTTTTTTATTGCAGATTCGTATTCTCCAGAAAAAAGTAACCCCATTTGATCTATTGTTTTAAGCATTTTTCTTCCCAGATGCCCCGTGGCCCAATCACAGCGACACGGCGACATTGTAGCAGAATGATACAGAGTTCTTGAAGAAAGAATTTTCCTTTAGGAAGTAAAAAATTTTGGTTTTCTTTTCAGCAGAAATTTTGGACATTTTTTTTCTAAAATTTTATTTAGAAGATGTTTTTCATGCATAGGAGGGGAAAGAAATGTTCGTGATTTTTCTATTCCTATTTGAGAAGTATGAAAAATAAATAATGAAGTAAAAAATTTCTTTTCTGCAGAAATGTTTCAGTTCTCACTTTTCGGTTCACAACTCACACCAATTCCAACGTAAATATGTGTAGTGTTTTGATAATTTCTTTGCCAATTATTACTAGGAATTTTTGCTTTGTTTTTTCGAAATCCCGATGTGTTTCATTGCTCAGTTATTATTTATATTCTCGTGAATTTTTGAAATATATTGATACTATTACGGCACACGAAATTCAAATCGAGAATTCAAGAAATAATTCTTTAACATGCTCATTTTGAGCCGATATTTTCGATAATCCGTTCGGTATTTCAATCGTTCTTTCAACAATAATTGCTACGAATTGTCACATTTAATTCAAAAAAATTCTTGATGTTTTTATACAATTTAATGATAAGAGAAATCTTGATGTTAATTATTTACTTTTAATGTGATGATTTCATCTTTTTTGACTTCTTATTGCTAGTGCAACCGTATTCCACAAGGTTTTTAAAATTCTGGTTATTTTTCAGTTAATATTATTCCTACACGTAACATTTAAATTGCACATTTAAATAATCACTTTATGCCAATACTATAGCAAATTCATACAGTGTTTTGATAGTATTTTCAGCAATTATTGATTTTTACATGGTTTTTAAACATCCTGGTATATTTCTGACAATATGGAAAATTTGAACCACTCATATGAATATTTAATTTTTAAAGCATGATTCTATTGTTTTTTGGGGGAATATTTGTTTCCAGACAGTTCTTAAAATCTCATCTTTTTAATATTATATTTTTTATTTCAATAACCGAATCTTGAAACGAAACATGCATTTAGTACCCCCTTATAAATTATCCTAAATCAAAGAATTATTTTTTTTAAAAAAAAACTTAATTTAATCTTTTTTTAAAAACTATATTGGCAATATAGAAATTTAAATGTATCATATATTTATTAAAAATATAATGAGGAAGTAATATATATAAAGAGAATTCTGTAATCACAGCCTTTAATATTTATTTTTAAAATCCTAGTAGAAAATAAAGTAAAAAAAGGGTTAGGAGTTGCAAATAAATATTTCAATAAGAGGATTGATACAAAAAAAAACAAAGCTATTAAAATTTTAATAATCATTACTGAGAAAGAACAAGAATTAAAAATGTCAACCTGTTTGATTTTGGGAGGAAAAAAATTTTAAAGGTAATTCTTAGAAACACTTCCAAGTGACATCAAGCTATCAAACTGCTTCAGATATTTTTTTACCTCTCCTTTCACACTATTTATTTGACAGATTTTGATAGCATATTTGTTCCTTTCTAGCTTAAATATTACTATGTAAGTACTTCACTTTAGATGCTAATTCTAAAAATACATATTAAGGGGAGTAATGAGTGATTGCTAAACACCCTGCTCCAATGCTTGTTCCAATGCTCTAGAAAATTTATTTATTGCAATTAATAAATATGTAAGTGTAGCAAAATGCCAGACAATTTTGACACAAAAACATTAAATTTTTCTGTACCAATTTTTCCTTTAAATAGAACAAATATTAACAGGGTATCAGCTAAATCTATACGTTTTAAATCCATCATTTTCCATTATTTTCACGACTTGAATCAAACACTTTCCATGACTTACACAAGTAAATATATTCTTACAGAATGAAATCGTAAGAACATTTCTCCCTCTAAATGAGTATAATGTTCTCTCTTAAAAAAAAATATTGTTTTTTCTTCTGAGCAACGCTTTGCACACTTTTTTAATAAATCAGTTTAAACCAAAGCAATAAAAAAAGGACTAAACTAATTAAACAAACTGAAGTAGAAAAAAAACGATTAAATATAATGTTGATTTAACGATTATATTTATTATCTGTGTATATTTATTAGACGATTAAAATTGATTTAAATATAATGCCTTTAAAAGGTTAATTTAGATTATGTTAATTTTTTAATTTCAAAGAAACTAAGTATCAACATCAATCCATGCACTATCAAATTGCTATATATATATATACAGTAGAGAACCGATTATCCGGAACTATCGGAACTATCGCTATTCCGGATAACTGATTTTTCCGGTTTTCTGAATAGCTACAAAAAGCCGTTTTGTTAGTGTTAAACCCAACTAAAAAAAAAATTATTTGGAAATAATCTTAAAAATAAGAAAAAACGATGAGGTAATACACTAATGATTATTTCTGAAATGATGGTAAGGTAAACATCTTTCAAAAAAGAAAGAAAAATTCTAAAATCTTATAAGGAAAAAAAAAATTTTTTTTTTAGAAATTGCGGGAAAATTTATCGAATTTCAGGTTTTTTGGTTTTCCGGTTTTCTGATTTCCGGATAACGGGTTCTGTACTGTATATATATATATATATATGCATTTGTAGATCAGGCTCTGCATGTGTATACAAATTGAGATGCAGGATTTAACATTATGAAGGGATCCAATAACCAAAAATCATAGATGAATTAGGAGTTTCCATGAATTTTTTGAACATATCACTAAAAATCATAACTTTTCATGATAAATTTTGATCAAGGTCAGAATCCATGACTTTCCATGATTTTCAATAACTTTTCAGAAGTGCAGATACGTAGTATTAAGCATAAAATAAAATTTTCCATAATTGAATCAACCATAATTTAATAAAAATATGCAAAATTATGTATGAAACAAAAGATGTATTCTGAAAAGATGAACACTTACTTTCAGCATAAACCGATGAAAAAATACAACCAATAAGACGGCTAGATCAAAGACAGCATAGTTATCATCTTTTCTGATGCCAAGAATAATGATGGGGTAAAATGGATTATTAGGAGGAGGTGTTTGATAATTCCAATTAAAAAAGTAGAATTGGAATAAATATTTCAAAACAACCACAGCCTAAAATATAAATCAAAATTCATACATAAATGGTTGATGTTTACCTTTGACATATGTTTTCTTTAGTTATAATCTATCTATTATATATAATTCTCTTACGTGGCTCCCAAATTTTGGCTGCATTTCTTTTCCGCCGGTGGCAATGTTTGCTTTGTTTTGTTTACGTTTTGAAAACACCAAAGCATTCTGCCTTTTAATGATGTGTTTCTGATCTAATATATATAATTCTCTTACGTGGCTCCCAAATTTTAGCTGAAGTACTTTGTACAACTAAATAAGATTCTTTTCACAACACTTAAATATTTACTTTATTTTCTTCATATATCAGTCGGCAAAGAATTCTGTTAGGTTAAAAAACATTTCGCTAAAAAAATAATGAATTCTAAAAAATAAAAATGCTGTTGCCAGCCCCAGAATTTTTTGAAAGTTAACTTAGCAACATAAATCAAAATGACATAGAAGCGCAACTGGATCAAAATTATGATACTTGAGCGCTTGACGTAACAAATCCTTCAATTCTATAAGTGTTGTACCGCCAAATAAATAATTTAAATAAACAACCAACTTCTACAACTGATTCTTGAACTTGGTTTTTTATACATTTTATATTTTTGTGATAAAATAAAAAACTTATTGTTGTACTGCTTCTGAACACTGATGAAAACACAAAATGATGGGCTTCACCAACAATTAAAAATATCTACATTTATTTTACAAATTCCATATTATTAGGGTGGCGCCCTTCAGAGAATTAAAAATGCAAAATTATCTTCATCAAAGCTGATGCTTTACATCCGGCGTTCAGTGGCAGACTACTATTTCATATTGTTTTACAACACATGGCCTTAGCCTTCTGGTGGGAAAGACTTTGAAACAAAACTTGCAACAGTTACTTTTCTCAACAACTGAAATTTAGAATAGTGTGATGTTTAGAATATATGTGAACTGTTTGCAATTTCAAATTAATATTGAAATGTACAGGTTTAGAATTTTCTACAATGAAAAGTTTTCGGAACTTCAGTATTCAAAAAAGTATACAAAAGCTAGACGTTAAGAACGTATCCAATGAGCGAGCATTGGATTGCGAAGCAATCTGAAATGAACTGCGAAAGCAGTTCCGGGGGTTGGTGCATTTTTAAGCACTTTAAAAAATATCAATAAATAAATCTCGTCAAATTAAATAAATCTTGTGAAACAATCAAGAAGCCATCCTCATGAAGCAATCAAGAAGCCATTCTCATGAAGCAATCAAGAAGCCATTCATTAGATGGCTTCTTGACTACAAGCTAAAAGGCATGAGAATAAAAAAGCAATCCTCAATTTATTTAAAGCTCCATGTGGTTAGATTAGATGCTTAAACTTCACTTTGAAAGGCATGAGAATTGATAAGTAATAAAATTAAAGTAATGAAGAATATCATCAATTAAAAGTTCCTTGAGATGAGATTAGATGCTTACATTTTACTCAGAAAGGCTACAGAACTGGAAAGCAATCATTATAAAGTGATCACACAGTAAAAAAAAGTACTGCTGACTTAAAGGATTAAAAGTTGTGAAAGGAAACGACACACTGATAGCATTGTTAGTCAATAATGACACATGATTAGATACGACGCTTAAATCTCATGCTGAATAAAATACCTTTAAGACGACAGTTCAGCATATCAAAGTAGACATTTAAAGCGGTATATTCAGGGCATCCAGTTTCTTTGGTAAAAAAGCTTTCTGTGTGAAAATATTATAATATACTTTAAGAATAAATGTACTTCAACCAAAGCACAAAAATCCGATTTTGAAAACTGGTTGAAATCAACACTAAAATTATCATTAGTGACTGTATATTAAGTTGAAAATCTGTTGTATGTTAAATTTGTACAAACTAGAAGTTATTGATAAATTAAGTACAAATTTACAATATGTTTCAAAAAATATTTTTTGAAGATTGCTACAAAAATTAAACAGTACTGAAATTGACCAACGCAGATAACAGTCACTGGACACTTTAAAGTGATAAATAATATTTATTTAAAATACATTTAAACATATCATAAAAAAAATTTTGTTAATTTTAAGAATAAAAAAACTTGATAAAAAGCATTACCAGTAAATAAAACTTTTTCTTTTTAATAAGTTTTAATAATTATTACAATAAATATTTTCAAAAGAACAGAAAAATTGTCATAAAAAAAAGAATAACAATCCTGATTAGTCACAAAAAAACATTTAAAAATTATAGTTACTAATTGCTGTAAAGAATATCTTTTATTACCTTTTATTCCTACAGTCTTTTAAATATTCAAACATATTTTTTTATCTAAAGCTATACTTTGAACAGATATAACCCATGTAAAACTAAATTTCAAATAAATACCTGGATGATAAAACTTGAGCTTTCACTTCGTTCACAACATGTTGGAAATAGTAGCTAGAGAAATTGCAACAGCAAGAACATTGGAACATTGGAACAGCAAGAATGCAAAGCAAATGATGTCATACACCAATCCTGGATCAGACTCAAAAATGCAGTCTTCAGTAGCTACATTAGAATAAATAAATATATCAACAATATTACATGCATATCATAAAATTACTTAATTATTATTTATAATCTTCAGTAGCTACATTAGAATAGATAAATATTTCAACAATATTACGCACATATCAAAAAATTATTTAGTTATTTGTGCTAGATTCTATAAAATTTAATGAGATACAAGGTGGCAAAAAAAATTATTAGCAATCTATTTTCAATTTTGTTAAATTAAAGCATTAAAACAAGTACTTTTTACATTATTAAAAATTATTTTTTTGAAATTTTGTAGTTCATATCTTATTTAGTGGGAAAATACATTAGGTACAGTAAAATTTCGGTTCATTAAGTACAATTGAATTTCAATTGTTGGAATTAATAAATAGGATCTGCACCTAATCTAGACAAAGAAATGACAAAAACATTTCTTGGGGAATGTGTGAAGCAAAACTTGCTTTTAACTTATATGGTATTGAGTATGAGGGCTTGACATTTATGTAGTGTTTTCTACTGCTAGGATAATTTAACAGATTTCTGAAATCTATTTTTAAAAAAATTATCGTTGTAATTCTAGAGACCTCAAATTATTTATCTAGTTTTTATCTCTTCTTAAAGCAGTTGTATTGGAGACGCCAGTGAATTTGAAAATCTAGACAATTGACAAAAATCTCATTCATAAGTTTGAAATTTATATTCTTATTCAATAAATAATTAAAATATTTAGATAATAAAGCAAATATTAATAAAATAATTACATAGCATTCTATAATTACTTTTTTAACAATATTGATGAAATATTAGAAAGAAAGTGCCTTAGGACGAACGTGAAAATTACGACGCTACACTGGTCGAAGCTGTAACCCGAATGCGGGAAAACAGTCTCTGTGGCAGGGTTGCCAACTTTGAATGTTCACGCCAAACCGGATTATTCATAGTTGTTTTAATATTTGATGCTGCAATTTTTTCCATCCAAATGAATCCGCTATTTTACAACAGTTAATCCGCTACAGTAAAATAAGTTTCATTTTTATCAGAATTACAATAGTACTCCTTAAAGAAATATTATGCTTTCACTGTTGTTAAAATGAAATTTGATATTAAAATTTTTAAAATAAAATAGCTAAAAGCTTTGGAAAATAAATTAACAATTAACATCTACAGCTGTTAAATTTCTTTAATTAAGAAAGAATTTTTGTTAGAATATAGCAAAAACATCTGATAAATTGCAATTTTTAAAACTTAAAAATTTAAAAGCAAAAAAATATTTTTTTAGGATTTAAGTATTTATACCAACAAATTTTAATTTTAAAGATACAGAAAGTGAAAAGCAATATAACAATAATATTTTGCCTAAACAAAAAGGTAATAAATTACCCATATTAGTCACACAATACTGATAGCCAGATAAAAAAAAAAAAATGTGGCAGAATTTTTCAGACTTTCTGCGACAAACTTCGCTAGCATTAATATTTTTCTTCAAGATACTTTTAATTATAACAATTACTAATTTAAAGTAACGAAAACATGGTGTATACAGAAGAAAGTATAAAATAGAAATGTCTACTAATTCTTTTCTAATTATTTATACAAATTTTTTACAAACAAAAAACTGTGCAAAAAATTTAATATTAAATATTTAATATTAAAACTCCATTTTAAAATTTAAATTATAAAACTTCACAAAAAAAACTAGATCAGAAACAAAAAAATCAGTTATTGGATTGTTTACATGCCCAATGTAATAACTGGTATTTATGACAAATTAAATGACAGAGAAAATTAGAAACGCAAAATGACCTGAAAAAAAAGTAGAGTAATTAAGAATAACTCATGAGTAATTATGAATATTGTTTACAACAAAGCATTAATGAAAACATTTGTTTTTATGATAAAAGAATTAAGAATGATAAAAGATTTAAGGATTTTGTCTAAGATTCACAAATTTAGTATTATGAAGTATAATGTGAGGAATTTTCAAAAAGGAAGAATAGAATTCTAGAATTCTAAAATTCAGATTTTATTGAAATATTAATACTATTTACTTGTTAGTATACAGATAATTAGTTATTAGAATTAAAAATCTAAGTGAGAAAGTTAAAAATTTTAAGTTTCGTAGAAAAGAACAGAGCTAAACCAAACTATAACTTACTCTTTTTATTTAACTTTTTTCCTTTTTTTAATCGAAATTGTAAAAAGTTATGTTAAAAGAATAAAAATTTAAAGAAACTTTATCCTTTACATAAATTAAAAAAATTATTTAAAAAATTTAAATTACATTATATTAAAAAAAAAATTAATCTTCATTTTTTTTAATTTTGATTTCATGCAACGATGCGATCCGGACTTGATTTTCAACGTTATGGGTAATTAATTTACATTTGACATCCTCAATTACAACGTCGTACGCAAAGGGGAAAAAAAAAAGTTTACCTTCTTTTTGAAGTCCGATTAAACAATTTAAGGACTTGTTAAAATAGCTTTCTTCCGTGAAAATACGGCTATTCAAGCTATGTTTAACACAATGCGTACAAGCTGAAATCCGTGTTTTCCATTTAGGAAAACACGGAATATATTGAGGATTGTCATATGTAAAATTTAAATAACGATTCAAAATATAAAAATTATTTTGAAGTTCATCGAGTAGTTTTTTTCGGTTGAAAATTTCCAATAATAATTCATCGTGTGTATCTGATTTACTTACACACTCTTCAGTATTGAAAATTTTTACAACAGAAATGTTGATGAACTCCAAATACTTTTTAGATAAAATTTTGGGATTTTCCGAATCTATAAAATCAAATTTTGCGAAAGTTTTTTTATGGAAATCTACAACGTTGTTAAGTATCAAATCCGGATCTTTAGTTCGGATTTTTAAATCCTTTGCTATGGTAGAAATAATAGTAGTTGAACTGGAATATTTCACACAATTTGTGTGAAATATTCGAGCAAACATATTTAATCTATTATAAAATTATTAACTAAAAAAAATAAAATACTTAATACTTTAAAAACTAGTATTGCTTAGAAATAGCTATTAAATTAGTTAAAAATATAAGTTAAAAATATAGGAAATATAAAATTAGTTAAAAAATTAATTTAAAAAGATTAGTGAAGAATAATTCCAAAAGGATTTAAAAAAAGAATAAATGTTACCTAAACATCAGTCTCTCCAAAAGAGAGTTGAGTTGAGTTGAAGAAGAGGATTTATGCTATCTGCTTGTGCGATAAGAGAGAGGTCGGAAGAGAAATTTTATTAATTGAACCCATCACCCACCCTTAAGGGTAATGGGTTCAATTAATTACATTTTTTAGTTTTCCGAGAAATCAAAGCACAAATTTTTTTAGTTCTAATCAGAGCCGTTTTTATGTTTATAGGGGCCCTGGGCCTGTGATTATTTGGGGGCCCCTTATGAGTAAATTTAGAGAAAAAAAATTTCATTTTGAATAATTTTTAAAAATGATTTTATTTTAAGTGTGAAAAACATAAATTAATTCTAAGAGCTTATATACTTTATTTTTATCAAAACTTTAAGTAACAATACTTTTCGCTCTTTTTGATTGGCGAATCTTCTGTCACATCATCAAAATCAATTTCCTGTAAGACATACATTTTGCTTTGCAGCTCAAAATCTGCAAGATTTAGAAACATCAAATTATGAAGGTGTGTAGAAAATATGCAATGAGTTAGAAAGAACGCAAGAAAATATAGTTTGATTATTAGTTTTTTTTTTATAATCGCCGCTGAAAAACTGACTCAATTTTGAGCCTATGTTTAACTACATAGCCTTGAAATTTTAAAACCAATCCAGAAGACAAGGAAACTCCTGGATCAGTATTGAAGCTCCCAGAGGTATTGAATTGTTAGGAGAACTTAGAGGAGTTTATGACCCCGACACATTTAACATGCCCCAGTCACCATTTTATACTCGGGTATTATTCAGCCGGTTCAGTTCGAACTCCCATTCTCACAAACATGAGTTCATAGCCCTGCCATCAACCAAGCTATCGTGGCCAAATTATTAGTTTATTTCATAACAGTCATTGAGCAGCCCCGATTTCGAGTTTACTACTACTAATGTTCAACTCCATAGCCTTGTAATTTTTGAACCCAATCCAGCAAACAAGAGAACGCCAGGATCAAGTATTGGAAGAAATTTTCGCCTTCGTGGAGGACGTTTTGATGGCCTTCATTTGAGTTAAATGGAGAGGAAAACCACGAAATCCTCCCACGGTTAGTCTGATAGCAAGGGGGTTCTAACCCATGATCCGTCTACCACTGAGGATATTTCACGTCAGCACTGTGGTCGGTAAAAGCCGGGTGTGGAATTCATATCGATCAGCCATCACTGGGATTCGAACTCGGGGTACCTCATTCGAAGGAGATTACTCTATCCTTTGAGTCCATCTTTATTGAGTAATAACTCTGCGACAGGTACCAATTTTATTGATTTGTCTAAATTTAATCATCTTCAAAATGTAAATGGTAATTCAATCGCAATGTTTGCAGAAAAAAATGGAAATACACAGTTTTTCCTCTTAACCTGCAATGAATGCAGAAGCGACCACGAGGGTTAGTGAGCAAAATAAACAGGTAACGGAGCCTTGTATTTTTTTAAATAATTGTTAAATTATTATTTATTGGCATGCATAATTAAAAAAATAAGAAAAACATTTTTCAGCATTAAGAAATAATAATTAAAAATTGGCTCGAGCTGGAATACAAACCACGATCTCACAGTTTTGTGTTAGATTTTATAATCATCAGCCCCATATATACACACTTGCCTTGCGCATATTTAAAAAAAAATTTTTTTTTAAATTTAATAAATTAAGTCATTTGGATACTTGACATTCTTGAAAAATGCATTCCTAATTACCATTTTCAACGTTTATGACAAGTATCTTCAGTTTACAGAGCCGTCTTAACAGCAAGCAGGGCCCCCGGGAACTAAAAAATTTCATATTCATAAAATAAAGCATTTTTAAGACATGCAATAATTTTAACAAACTTCAACACGTTTTCATCGCCCCAAAAACTCAATGCGCATGAAATAACGCATTTCAAAACAAGGCATATTTTTTTTTTTTTTTTTAAAAAAAAGAATGCGAACTATTTGCAATTCTCAAATAAGAAATAATTTTTAAAACCAAGAAGCTAATTAAAATAATTAAATTGAAAAACATAAGGGTGTAAAAAATTTTTTATATTTTATTTTATAACCGTTATTGAACAGCAGATCTAATTTTTGGGTTTACGACTACTAATGTTGAACTCCGTAGCCTTGTAATTTTGAACCCAATCCAGAAGACAAGGAAACTCCTTCATCAGTACCTCCAGAGGTTTGATTTGTTATGAGAACATGGAGGATTTTGTGACTCGACAGATTTAACGCGCACCAGTCACCATTTACTACAAGGGGGGTCTTTGGCCTGTGGAGATCGAACCCACGAACTCTTGGACATGGGTCCAGTGACCAACTAACCAGGCTATCCCGGCGTAGGGTATAGCAAATTTTTTTTATTTTAAATTATAGCCGTCGTTGAACAGCCGACCCAATTTTCGGGTTTACGACTTCTAATGTTCAACTCCGTAGCCTTGTAATTTTGAACCCAATCCAGAAGACAAGGAAACTCCTTCATCAGTACCTCCAGAGGTTTGATTTGTTATGAGAACATGGAGGATTTTGTGACTCGACAGATTTAACGCGCACCAGTCACCATTTACTACAAGGGGGGTCTTTGGCCTGTGGAGATCGAACCCACGAACTCTTGGACATGGGTCCAGTGACCAACTAACCAGGCTATCCCGGCGTAGGGTATAGCAAAATTTTTTTATTTTAAATTATAGCCGTCGTTGAACAGCCGACCCAAT